ATTCAATAATGAGGGTTTTTGTTCTGCGATTTCTGACAGGATCGGAATGGGAAGGTTCCGTTGTATTGGGGAATCACCGCCGATGGTCATGTCGCCTTTTCCGATAACTCAGATCTTCTCAAGGGTTCTTGCGGGAAATCACTTGCTTCTTTCCCTCAAGGTAGATTAGAAGCCCTTTCGATCTGTGTGTGTATCAATTAACTTGCTCTGTAACGATAATGGAGCGTTTTGTTTTTGGATTCTGCAGGGTGTTTCTTATCTACAGCAGTTGGTGAATTGAGATGCTATCAGAATCCTAAGAACAAGATCACTGCTGTTCCTGCTAATGAGGAAGAGATTTGGGGTGCAACATTCAAAGTAATTTGGTTGACATTCACAACAATCAATCAATCATATCACTAAACTACATGCCTAAGATCTTAAGACTTTTTTTTGTTGATGTTCTTTGTCAGGTGGAGGGCCCTGCAGCTGTGGCGGCCACATGGTGAAGAGATTTCATATAATTGTGTTTAATTTGTGGCTGAGAATGCAGATGGGTGTGCGGTGGATTGGATGCCCAACCGACAAAGTTGGCATGCTTATGCTTAACAGTGGAAGATGGGTGTGTTTTACTTTGCTTTTACTCTGATGTAAAGCCCTTTTGCTTTTGGTGCAATAAAGTCGTGGCTTTTGTAGAATTATCCTTTGTTATTCTATAAAATAAAGTTGAATTTCCCACCACTTGTGTTTCTGCCATTTTCAACCACTTGTTCATATCAAATGTGGGTGTCATTGACATTTGAACCACAACCATGATGCAATGCTGTGAAATGCTGAAATTTAGAGACAAGAATCTTAAATTATGATATGTATTGCGAGGACCAATAGATCCAAAGAACAGCAAGTTTTGTCTATGGTGATAGCATTAGGTCCATTGATATCCCTACCTTTGCTGTTCCTACTACATGACACTCACAGTCTAGTTTGGAAGCAGGTTTGAATATTAGAAAGTATAGAAACTAGTGTTGAAATTTGTAGTATAGCCAAAGATTTTACCGTGATGAACAATCATGTCACTAGTAGCATAAGCTTAGTTGCAGGATCAGTGAGCTAGAGTAGTATAAGCATAGTCCAGGCATTGTTTGATTCTTCTTAACATCTTTTATGTGATTCTTCTTTTAACATATTCTTAAGACTCAGTTCGAAAGATTTCATATCGATTGGAGAGAAAAACAAAACATTCTTTATTAGGGTGTGGAAACCTCTCCTTAGTGGGCGCGTTTTAAAAACCTTGAGTGGAAGTCTGAAAGGGAAAGCCTAGAGAGGACAATATCTGTCAGCGGTGGACTTGAGCTGTTACAAATGGTATCAGAACCAGACACCGAGCGATGTGCCAACGAGGACACTGGATCTCAAAGGAGTGGATTGTAAGATCTCACATTAGTTGGAGAGGGGAACGAAACGTTATTTATAATAGTGTGGAAACCTTTTCACCGAGCGATGTGCCAACGAGGACGCTGGATCTCAAAGGAGTGGATTGTAAAATCTCACATTGGTTGGAGAGGGGAACGAAACGTTATTTATTTATAATAGTGTGAGAACCTTTTCCTACTAGACTTTTTTTTTTTTTTTTTAATTAAAATTTGTTTATGGTTTAAAAAACAAACAGATAAAGACTACAACACTAATAAATCTTAAGTATTTATTACGTAAGAAAAAAATTATAAAAGTAAATAATAATAATCTCAAAAAGAAAGGGACCAAGCTCCTCCTTAGGCACGGTAACCTCATTGGCGCCAATTTTGAGCCCGGTTCCCGAGTGGGTCCTTCCTCTTCTTCTCTCCGACATTTTTTCAAATACCTTGTGTTCAGTACATGGTCTTCAATCGTCTTGCGCCTTAAGTCGATTTGAATTACAGTTGAGGGATGATCTTCAACAGTACGTTCAAGTGTTGGTCCTTGGAGATGGAGCGTCGGAAGACTTGGCTTTGTCAGGTTTTCGGAATCTGGAAGTCATTGACATGGTTCGCATCGAAGTTACTAATCTCAATCCTCAGTTTCTCTTCAGGTTCCAACGATCTTCACGGTTCTATGCGTAGTGTTTTTTTTTTTTCTTTTTCTTTACGTTTCAAGTGTAAAATCTGCACCGGTTCTATGAATTCGATGAATCCTTGTAGGCTTGAAGCTGATACCCATATTTCCATTAGAAGAAACAATTAAACCAAATGATAGATGAGGAAACAAGTAAAATTTCCATTATGTACTCTAGCAGAAACTCCTAGAACTGCTGCTCATTGTATCGAGTATGCCCAACTAATCAAATGGGATGAGGTAATATATAAGTTGCTTTACTTTTCATTGAGAATTGTGAACGTGCGCCCCTTCTGGAATTTCCAATACCTTTTTTTTGGGTTCATAGTTGAGAAACTTTTGATCCAGATAATTTTGAACACATGAAATGGGTTTACAATGAGGTACACAAATTCCTATAGGGTCTGGAAATTCCTATTAGTGATTTTAAACTTCTTCTTGATCTTCCTACATCTATAGGCTGTTAAGAGAGCAGAGCTTTCTTGAATTCCGAGAGTTACATATTCACTAACTCAGGTACATATTAGTCTTGGAATTTTCACTGAACTGATATGTGTTGACGTTTTATTATTATTCTTATTTTGATCTTAACTTGTGATTGTCTTTTAGTGGGTAAATAATAACTGCTTTGTTGTTAGAAATGCATCTATATCTGATTTATATTCTCTCAATGTTGTTTATGGGCGTTGTGAAGAATATCATACCTGCTATTGCTTCCACTAATGCAATTATATCAGCTGCATGTGCATTGGAAACATTGAAGATTGAGGATTGTATCTGTAACAGCCCAAGCCCACCGCTAGCCCAAGCCCACCGCTAGCAGATATTGTCCTCTTTGGACTTTCCCTTTTGGGTTTCTCCTCAAGGTTTTTGAAACGTGTCTGCTAGAGAGAGGTTTTCACACCCTTATAAAGAATGCTTTGTTCCCCTCTCCAACCAATGTGGGACCTCACAATTCACCCCCCTTGGAGGCCAGTGTCCTCGTTAGCAAACCACTGAATGTTTGACTTTGATACCATTTTGTAACAACCCAAGCCCACCGCTAGCAGATATTGTCATCTTTGAACTTTCCCTTTCGAACTTCTCCTCAAAATTTTTAAAACATGTGTGCTAGGGAGAGTTTTCCACACCCTATTAAGTTTTTATGACAAGTTTACTATTTCAATGTTCTAAGTTGAAGCTAGGCTTGCGGTGAATGAGACAATTTTCAATGCAACAAATTTCCAAGTGCTAGGCTTGCATTTCTGATAGCCTTTGATATTGTTCTATTACTTCCTTTTATTTATGCACTTAATTTCCAAGTGCATAGAATTTAATGTCAAGTGATCCATTTCCAGATATAATGGTGCAGAAGGTCTCCACACTAAAGTGACAGAGTTTGTAAAAGATAAGGACTTGTCTTGTTTGTGGTCCAGGTGTTCTTATTGAGCTGGATACTTCAATTACTTTACATAAGGTCGGCTATTTTAGCTTTTATGCCATCTCTACATGTTATATGCAGTGTTATGGACATACCGCTATATTCATTTTGTATTTCAATTGTTGCTCTGTTAGTAAATTTCAGATGTTGAGAATTCTTTGACGTACTCCTAATTTAAATTTTCAGTTCGTGACCTGCTAGAAAGATCATCCCTAGCTCTTGTTATCTAAGGCAAGTGTAAGGCATCGAGGGAAGAATCTATCCATGCAGGCACTTCCTGTATCTCAATTTCCAACCTTTTGAATTCAACGTGCGGGCATGACCTTTTGGTCGAAGATATATACCTTAACCTATTGAGCTATGCTTATGATATCTCAAGTTGGCATATCAGCTTCACCTCGGAAACATGGGTATGAATTTTGTTGTTGTTGCTTGTATATTGAACACTGTTCTAATAGTCCCAGTTGGGAGGATTTCTTTTATCTAGTTAAGAACAAGAGAGAAGGGAAAACAAAATGTACTGTTTTTACTTTGGCCTTCCCCCCACCCTCCTGTTTTATGTAACATGCTTATAATGAATTCCCTCACCAGCTGGTGATCCTAAATCTGATCTATTTGCTTGTTGAAGACAGGCAATGATAGGAGAAGCCAAGAGGTGTTACTGATATGAACATTTATTGCTATAGTAGAAAGAATGAGCTCTTCCATCTAACACCACCTTGTGATGCCTCCAATACACAAGAAGTTGGGTAGCAAACATGGAGGGTCCCCCAACCAGCTAGCAAACCGAGTGAAAATCAGTAACTTTACTACTACCACAATTAATAGTTTAGTACTTTGCTCATTTGGGTTCACTGTTAGTGGATGAAAATAGTGATATGGATTTTAATGAGTCGCAATATGTCATGTTCACTCAATTATCTCTGTAGTTGATTGTTGAGGAGATTTGATTCCCTTTCCTTTTACTGTGTTAAGCTTCTTATGGATTTCCTGAAACTAAAGGAAGAGAACTACATTGAAATGCTGAACACTCTGTCTATAGATAAGGTTTGGATATTTCGACCATAAAAAGACTAATCAGAATCGTTGGCTTATTAAAACTATGAGCCAAACGTTTCTTTGACGTTGTTTATGTTCCTGTAATGCAGCTGGCCCCGCGAAAGAGATGCCCGACGACTGCTGAACTGATGGTCTTAAACAACACACAGATGCACGGATGAGTACCAATGACTTAGCTTAGCTAGTTGAGAGCCTGATAGATCTTCTCCCATGTACGACAATACAGGTAATTTATTGCCTTTTAGAATACATATCATAGATACATGAGGTTATGTTCACATACTAGTAAGCAAATCTTAAGTCTACCGCTAGTAGATATTGTACTCTTTGAGTTTTCCCTTTCGAGCTATCTTTCAAGATTTTTAAAACGCGTTTACTAGAGAGAGATTTCCACACCCTTAGTTCGACTTGGGGTCTTACATAAATGTAGCATAAACCCAAGTGGGCTGAGGATTTAAACCAAATTTAGATGGTGGTTTGTTTTTGGAGAAGATTTTTTCCGGCAACCGATCCTCATATTTTCCCCAACTGGATAACACAATGCAATGATTCTTGTGGGGTCTCTTAAAGTTTTAGACAGATTGGCCAGCTGTGGCTAATGACCCACCATCTCACATGCTCAGCCAATGTGGTTTTGACTCACCCATCACTCCCTTTTCCCCCCTTCTAAACTCTATATATCTTCTCTCTCTCGTTTGCTCAGCCAAGTGTGTGCGTGTATAACACTATAAGTTCTGTTTTTAGTTCTTTTGTAGCTCTGAGTATAGACAACATGGAAGTAGCTTTGGAACTTGAAGATGATTTGTTCTTCGCTGATTTAAGCAGACAGCTCTCTCTTCTTCTCATGGATGACAACGAAGACCCTCTCCCTCATCATCCCCATGTTTCTCTTCAGGTACTTCCTTTTTCCAAATTTCATTCATTTGGGTTGCTTTTTTAGTCTCTCTGTTTGTGGCTGTGAATTCAAACAAGCTCGATCAATCTGCAGGCTCTCGCTCATGGAGGCCACCAGCCTGCACGGCCACTGGCGGTGCATGACCAAGCTGCCGCTGCTATTGTCGCTGCCTACAGTGGCGTAAGCAAAGGCACCGGCGTGTTCATCCCTCGGTCTTTGCAGCCTGCAAGAAAACAGAGGCGTGGAAGATACAATAACATAAAGGCAAACCGACAGTTTCCAATCACTGTTGATGTGAATTCACAAGTATCCAACAACAATTCGTTGCGTCCCAAAAAGGGTTAAGGATTCGAGGAATTTGAGGAAAAGGGTATCAGAATTTAGATTAAAAAAATAATTCTTTCACCAAATATTTAAGTATGGTGATGCCTGTACATGGAAGAAGCTATAGTATTAGCTCATAATTCTTTCACCAAATATTTAAGTATGGTGATGCCTGTACATGGAAGAAGCTATAGTATTAGCTCCATTAATTACTGGGTTTTCATTGGTTTATGTGTTTCATTGGAAGGTTAATTAACCTAAGGTTTGTGAACCTCCTCCCTCCTTGTGTTCTTCTTCATGAGAGAAAGAGTTAGGAACGCCATCGTCAATCCTGTGAACCTCCTCCCTCCTTGTGTTCTTCTTCATGAGAGAAAGAGTTAGGAACGCCATCGTCAATCCGAACATAACTCAAGGTACTAAATACTCGAATCTCGACTGCAAAAGCTGAGATGAGTCTGAATTTGTGTTGTAATATGCTCTTAACTGGCAGCCATGCAGTGGCACATGAGCCGTCATGTTTAGATAGCTGGATCTCTGTTGCAAAGAAAGCTAAAGTTCTCTAAAAACATTCACAGAGAGGCAGAGGAGAGAGAAGGATTGAGGATTCGACAATTATTATGTTTGACTAGATCTCGAGAATTACCTTTATGTTTTTACTGGTTGAATCGAGTTATAATTAAATTATGAAATCCATTCCGTTAATGATTAAATTATATGATTATTAGTTCTGTCGCTATAAGCAAAGATTTTCATTACAAGATGAGATGGATTCAAAGCTTAAATTAACCTAAATTACAAGTGGACAAAACCCATAATTAAAATTAAAATAAACGCAAATTATTTTCTAATTTTGGTGGGTTTTTTTTTGTTTTTTTTTTATAATTAAAATTAAAATAAACGCAAATTATTTTCTAATTTTGGTGGGTTTTTTTTTGTTTTTTTTTTAAAAATAAATTCATTGAATTATTCACAAAACGGATGAAAAAAAAAGGATAAAAAAAATCAAACAAATTGAATTAATTAATTAATTAGTTTTTGTGGATGTGGAGAGAACCCCACCACTATTATTTAATAAGTTGGAATATAATATATTATTTATTTATTTTTATCTTTTATAAATTCCCACCACTATTATTTAATAAGTTGGAATATAATATATTATTTATTTATTTTTATCTTTTATAAATTAATTGCCTATAAAAGGGAACTAGCATGTGACCCAACTGGTGTCATTAGAATAATATATATATATGTATATATTATTTTTTCCATATATATTTTTTTTTCCAACTGGTGTCATTAGAATAATATATATATATGTATATATTATTTTTTCCATATATATTTTTTTTTGTTGGGAATCTTTGATGGATTTTATTATTATATTTGAAAATTTAATTATATAAAGTAAGTCTCCCCTAGAGGGAGGGATGGCAAAAGGGGTGGAATGGGTCACGAATCTTATTCTCAATGGTCGTGGTCGGAGAATCTTTATTTGGGAAATCGAACTTCTCATAACTAGTGAGGGCATCGTTCAGTATAGCTCAACCGACATAAGATATTTACTCTCTACTAAAATATTTGAATTTTTAGCCTTTACGTTTTTTCTTTCAAGCTTAGGTTTGTTTTATTGAATATTTTAACCTAATTTTTCGTTTACGATCTTTATGGACAAGGTCAAATCTAGTACTACAAATTATTTAATTGGGTGCAGCTCATTTAGCGATTACTACTAATTTTTACTTAAACAAATTCATCGCTATATTAAATTGAAATTAAAAAAAAAATTATTATGACTCAAATGATAAAAATGAAACAAAGAATGAGTTTTAGTACGGTTCTGCTCTTCGAATAAGATGTGTAAAAAGAGCTTGAACGAACTCAGTGCACTAAAAGAAAAAAAGTGAACGTAACGGTTTAAGCTCATTGCTAGTAGATATTGTCCGTTACATATGGCTGTTAGTCTCACAGTGTTTTAAAACTTGTGTATTAGGGGGAGTGAATATTTTTAATTAGTCGAAGCATTATTTTTAAAATAAAAAATATATTTTTGAAATTTGAAAATCTTAATAATATTTTTATTAATTTAGATGAAAATAAATATTCATTTTTAATAATTAATTAGTTTCATAAATGAGCATCTACCGTCGAAGTGTTCCCCACGAAAACAGAGAGGAAGAAGAAAAGGTCTGTCAGTTTTGGTTGTCCAAATTGAAAGGAACCAACCAATAAATCTCGTTTACTTCTCCACTAGGAAGCTTCCATCAATGGCGGACTTCAATTACGCCTTCATCTCTCTGGTTCTTCTTCTTCCTCTTGCACTACTCATTTTCCTATACCTAATTGTTCGTCCTCGCTCCGTTAACATTCCTTTGAAGAATCGCCATGTCTTCATTACCGGTGGATCGAGCGGAATCGGGCTCGCGTTGGCACACCAGGCCGCATCGGAGGGCGCGCGAGTCTCCATTCTTGCGCGCTCTCTCAAGAAGCTCGAGGAGGCGAAGGACGCAGTCAGACTCTCCACTGGTATTGATGTGGCAGTCTTCGCTGCCGATGTTCGAGATTACGATGCTATTTCCAAGGCTGTAGATGAAGCCGGGCCGATTGACGTTCTTGTTGTGAATCAAGGCGTGTTCGTACCTCAGGAGCTGGCAGAGCAGGATATGGATGAGGTGAAATTCATGTTAGATGTTAATTTGTTGGGCGCATTTCACATGATTAAGGCTGCCCTGCCTACGATGAAGAATAGAGTAGACCGTCGACCCGCCTCGATCGCTCTCATGTCTTCTCAGGCCGGTCAGGTAGTTGTGTTTCTATTTGCTTTCTACTTTATTGGGCAATTGCATTGATTATTTTTTAGTATTCAAGTGACGCTTTATCATGTTGAAGGGTCAATTAATGAGCTCTCATGGTGGTATGCGAGTAAATTATGTGCGCACACATAAAGGAGGGCGAATTAAGGCGCATAGATTGTTTACTGCTAGTATATAGGGTGTGCTTGGTCATAGTCATAGTGTTTAATCACCTCAAGTCTTTTTGATAGTATAAAAATACTTAGAATAGTTTGAGAGGAAGCATTTGATTAAGTACAAATAGAAAAAGTGTTGCCAAGTGCCAACTACTACTCTAGAGTGAACTTCTTCGATTGTTAGGGTCAATTTAATGACATTGATAACATGCAGACACTCGCTGAGTTGAAAATTCAGTAGAAGTGGTAATCCTTTACTCACGAATTCCTATTGTAAATATGAGTAGGTGGGTGTTTATGGCTACACGGCGTATTCAGCTAGTAAGTTTGGGCTTCGTGGTTTGGCAGAAGCCTTGCAACAGGAGGTTATAGGAGATAACATACATATTTCTCTTATATTCCCTCCAGACACTGACACTCCTGGATTAGTAGAAGGTATGTATAAAGCAAGACCTGGTTTACCTTATTGTATTGTTCTGCTAGTCCTCAATCAGGGTTTCAATATTTACTCAGTGGGTTGGAGTATTTTTAGCTCAGTTTTCAGCCCATTGGTTTAGATTAGGATATGAGGTAAATGGTTGAAAGATAAAGTAATTGGTATTACATGGCTAGGATTTATTTGAGCTAGTAACCATCTTGTTTGGATATCTCAGGTTGTAAGCTATTTTGAAGGTTGTATTGGCAGAAATCCTTCAATTTATTATATAGAATCTTTTTTTAGTTGGTTTCTCCTTTTAAAAGTTACCTATCCTTAATCGCAGAGGAAAAGAGAAGGCCTGAATTGACCAATATCATTGCCGCTGGAGGAGGCAGGATGAAAGCTGAGTTAGTTGCCAAAAAAGCTTTGAATGGCATTAAATCTGGTAGCTTTATAATTCCCTGCAACTTTGAAGGAGCATTATTGTCCGTAGCAACTGCTGGCTTATCTCCTCAGAGATCTTTCTTGATGGCATTCCTTGAAGTTGTTACTGCTGGGATAATAAGGATTGTGGGCTTGTGTTTTCAATGGGTTTGGTATGATAGTATTCAAAAATGGCATGCACAGAAAAAAAGTAAGTATTCATTCAAGTGATGAAACTATGAGCTTGTTCAATCCCTTGATTAATGTAAGTTCTATAATTGTTTCTTTCATGGCACTCATTATTGCGCAAGAGATCTGGTTAAAATGCTGTCAAACTTTCACATGGTATCAAAAACTAATCAGATTTTGAATTACACAGTTATGCTATCACAGGTTCTTGTTTTTTGTTTTTTTTTTTTTTTTTTAAGATCACAATCTTCATTGTCGTCTAATTTCTAGCATATGACGATGCGAGTGGCTTTGTTTTCCTTATTTCTCGTCAGCTGCCTTTCTAAATTCACTCCATTTTGAATGTCATATTACATCAGTATACTAATTATCATATCTTTTGCCTTAAATTCTTATACCCTCAATGTCTGTTACAACGTGTCGAAGGCTGATCTATGCAGTGAATCAACCAGTTACCTACGTTCAACACATGAACTTGTGGCTAATGCCGACAAGTGACAAATATCTGGATAATCCTGGAACTTGACACTGTCTTTTCAGTTTGCTCATTGATAGAAAACGGCTCGACTTGCATATAGTGCATTTGTTTTTGCATTTCTCTATCTGGCTGTAACTTCAAGCCATTTGTTGAGTAACCTTATCTATGTCCTATTTTTCCAGGAACCTAGAAGATACGGCTGGTTTTTTCTCAACAATTTCTTTCATTTATGGTTATTAGCTCCAAGCCCGCTCTGATAAGTCGAACACTATTTCTTGACAGTTCAATATTTGGTAGGCAAAAAGTCAGGGATGACTGATTCAGTAGCAGTTCTCTCTCTTCCCTCAGTTTGACAGCAAGGCATTCACGGTTTACTCTTTTTCTCTCATTTTTTTAAAGGTAGATCAGCAGCTGTAGGAACTGGATTTTCATCCCAACTTGTTAGGGTATCTTTTCTTACTGTATGCCATAGAGGGAAGTTGAATTAAGTTTCAAGAACATAATTTGATCATGTGATGAAGTTTGGATCTTTATGATCTTTATCTTACTACAAACGGCAGATTAAGAGATTTTTCTTAGCAAATTAGTTGTGTTATTTGACAATTAGGCGTACGCCAACGCCACTGCAAAACCATATCGAGTCTATTACAATTCTTGCTTGCTTCTTTTAATTTGACAGGGGGCAGCTGGAGATGGAGGGAGTTCAATTCTAGATAAGATTGTTTGTATTGACTATGCTGACATGTTATTTTTAATACCAATTTTATAGTTAAATGTTGAAGTTCTTCCCTTTCACTTTGAAAACAGGTCTAATGAAAAGTGGGGACTTGGGAAATAAGTCTTCTAAATTCAGCCCCTATATGAACATGGGCTGAAACCTAATCTCATTGTGTTGTGTCCTTTACAAAGGAAATGCCTTTGTTTTTTACAGGAAAGCATGCATCAGCGCCCTTCAGTTACGTCCGATATCCCGCACTTGGCGATCGACAAGTTTCTCTCTATCGTTGTCCATACATGCAGGTAGGCTTATTGATTCAGCTCATGTTACGTCGATTATGTCGATTTCAACTAGCCACATCGAATTTTCGTTTTGGTTTGCTCACTTCTAGGGTCATAAACTATTTTTGAATGATAAAGTTTAAAATGACACTTTGGATCAAAGTACAAGCGCATAATTGAAATTTGTCACATACCATTATTGAGTCGCCATTATATCTCTTTACCATTAATTTTTAATGAGAAATTAAAATTCATCTAATGCTATGCATTATCAACAAATTATAAAATATAATCGTTTTTTATAGTTAAAAAAAATAGTCATAACCAGTAAATATTTTTATAAAAAGAAAATAGCAAATAAAAAATGAAATCAATGTAACCTAATTCATTAAGTCAAAATTTATTTATTTATTTATTATTATTATTTGTGAAAAAAGAAGTCATAAAATTTTAAAATGTGATAATTTGCCCAAAATTTTACCTTATCCAATACCCTTCTGAACTTATTTGAGACGGTTGGGTTCCACAGTGCCCCGCCACTCGCAGAAGCAAGACGGCGGTTGCTTCACCACCGGCGCCGGGAACTCTCCATTACGACCCGACTCCCCATTTCTCTTACGCCCTCATCTTCTTCATCTCCTCTTTCCTCCTTAATAACCCATCCTGTATTGCGTAGGCGCGGCATTCCATTTCCAATGGCCGCAACGCTTCTTCCGTCTACCAAAATTCCTCCCCCTCGGCTGCCCGTCTCATCTGAACGCCGCCATCCAGTTTATTTACCAAAACTTATCAATAGCAATGGACCCATATGCTCCACCCCCAAATTTAGGCCTTCGAAAGCATTTATGAGCTCATCTTCTTCAAACAATGCCGTCGATTCTAATTTCGAGGCTTCCACTCTCCGCGAGATCTGTAATGGATATGTTCCCGATCATATATTGGACAGGTAAGTATCCATATTACCTCCGTATCTTGTGGGTTCCTTCTTAGTTTATCATTTCTAACAATATCTCTTCTGGGGTGTTTTCTTTTCCCTTAATTTTCTTCTCTAAAATGATGTAGAGCTGAGGAAATTGGATTTGTTGCCCCAACTGGTGTGCAGAGGCAAGCTCTTCCAGTTCTGTTTTCTGGTCAGGATTGCGTGCTTCATGCGCAGGTCAAATCTATGTATTTCAAGTAAAATTCCTGCAGGATGTGGATACTTAGTATTGTTTGTTTGTGTAAATTCTGTATATGGTTCTTTGCTTACTCTTATCCTTTTAGACAGGTTCTGGGAAGACGCTGACATATTTGCTATTGATATTTTCTGTAATCAACGCTCAGAAATCAGCTGTGCAAGCACTGATTGTAGTCCCCACCCGGGAGCTTGGAATTCAGGTAAGATTGGGCTTTGTATCTTCCACTAATTTCATTTGTACTTATCTTTCATTCTGTAGTTCTGAAGGGCGGGGTGTTTGGTTGATGCTTCTTACATGTTGATGGTAATGTTGTATTTGACCTGGTGGAATGGATGCCAGGTTACTAAAGTTGCTAGGATGTTAGCTGCAAAGCCTGCAACGGCGGATGAAGTTGGGCAGAAATCTTATGTTGTCATGGCTCTTTTAGATGGAGGCTTGTTGAGAAGACACAAGACTTGGTTGAAGGTGCTGCATTTGTCTCTTTTCTTCATGCATAGTTAATACGAAATCTCTGGTGGAGAAGTTTATTTTCATAAGTAGTAGTGTTTTGGCTAGATGGTTTGCAAAAAGTTGAATTACTTGTTGACAACATACGTTGTCTTGGCTTCTAATTGCATTGTCATCGGGTTTCATTTTGAATTTCTTCAATATGACCTTTGTAAGGGCCCAAGCCCACTGCTAGCAGATATTGTCCTCTTTGGACTTTCCCTTGAAGGGAAGGGCTTCCCCTCAAAGCTTTAAAACGCGTCTGCTAGGGAAAGGTTTCCACACCCTTATAAAGGGTGTTTCATTCTCCTCCTCAACCAATGTGGGATATTACAATCCACCCCCCTTCAGGGCCTAACGTCCTTACTAGCACACCACCTCCTATCTACCCCTTTAGGGAACAACCTCCTCGCTGGCACATCGCCGAGTGTCTAGCTCCGATACCATTTGTAACGGCCTAAGCCCACCGCTAACAGATATTGTCCTCTTTAGGCTTTCCCTTTCGGGCTTCCCCTCAAGACTTTATAACGCGTCTGCTAGAGAAAGGTTTCCACACCCTCAATAAAGGGCGTTTCGTTGTCCTCTCCCAACCAATGTGGGATGTCACAACCTTATATTGTTTTTTTCCGATTCTCTTCAATTTCTTGGCTTGTGGTTAATAGAAAAGAAGTTACATCTAGATGGTAAGTTTGAGATATTAAAATTTTCAGGCAGATCCCTCTTCTATACTGGTGGCAACAGTAGGAAGCTTGTGTCAAATGGTTGAGAGGCGATTTCTTGATCTTGCCTCACTAAAGGTGCTGGTAATTGACGAGGTACTTGCACGAAAAAGTTATTTTCAGTAAGCTTTTGGGTCATACTTTCATGCCAAATCACGTAATTGGAAGGTCGTGTAGCTATAAACTGCTGATGAATTAAGCTTGTTCGAAACGTTTATTTCAAGGAATTGACATTTTTTTCCCGCTCTTTTGCCAGGTTGATTTCATGTTTAGTTCCTCAAAGCAAGTTAGTTCTCTGAAGAAAATCTTGACATCATATTCTATGTTCAGTAATCGTCAGACTGTTTTTGCAAGTGCATCAATTCCCCAGCATAGGCATTTTCTTCAGGAATGTATACAGCAGAAGTGGACAAAGGTGTGTATATGGGTTTCTTTTTGGTTACTTCCAATATGTGATGCAAGTCAGCCATTAGTTTTATCAGCTTGTTAGAACTTTCCCTCTCTTTCTCTTGCAGAATAATGTAATCCATATTCATATTAACGCAGTTCAGCCCATGCCATCGTGTCTACTCCATAGATTTGTGGTAAGAGATTTTATTGCTCATTCAGAAGTAATTATCCTCAGCCATCTCACTGGATTTAGAATTTCTTCTTTCTAATCATTTTGAGATGTAACTTGTTTAGATATTACCTTTTTCTTGACAGATATGTGACAAGAACAAAAAACACCAAACCTTCCTGAGTGTACTACTAACAGATAAACCTCAGTCTGCAATCATTTTTGTCAGTGAGCAGGTTCGTGTTGATTGCCTTAAAGTGAGATAAATAAGTACAATATTCCAACTGCTATTGAACAACCCAAGCCTATCGCTAGCAAATATTGCCCTCTTTGGTGTTTCCGTTTCGGGTTTGTTCTCCAGGTTTTTAAAACGCATCTTTTAAAGAGAGATTTCTACACCCTTATAAGGAATTCTTCGTTCCCCTATCCAACCGATGTGGGATCTCACAATCCACCCCCCTTGGGAGCCCAGCGTCCTTGTTGGTACACCGCTCGATGTCTGACTTTGATACCATTTATAACAGTCGAAACTCACCGTAGATATTGTCCTCTTTGGGCTTTCCCTTCCAGGTTTCCCTTCAAAGTTTTTTAAGACGCATATTCTAGGGAGATGTTTCCACACCCTTATAAGGAATGCTTCGATCCCCTCTCCAACCGATGTGGGATCTCACAATCCACCCCTCTTGGGAGCCTAGCGTCCTTGTTGGTACATCGCCCGGTGTCTAACTTTAATCCATTTGTAACAGCCCAAGCCCACCGCAGCGTCCTTGTTGGTACATCGCCCGGTGTCTAACTTTAATCCATTTGTAACAGCCCAAGCCCACCGCAAATATTGTCCTCTTTGAGCTTTCCCTTATGAGTTTTCCCTCAAGGTTTTTAAAACGCATCTTCTAGGGAGTTTCCACACCCTTATAAGGAGTGCTTCGTTCCTCTCTCTAACCGATGTGGGATCTCACAATTCACCCCCCCCCCCTTGGGGGCCCAATGTCCTCGCTGGCACACCGCCCAGTATCCGACTCTGGTACCATTTGTAACAACCCAAGCCCATCGCTAGCAGATATTGTCCTCTTTGGGCTTTCCCTTCCGGGCTTCCCCTCAAGGTTTTTAAAACGCATCTTCTAGGGAGAGAGTTTCCACACCCTTATAAGAAATGCTTCGTTTCCCTCTCCAACCAATGTGGGATCTCACTGCTATTTTCGCTTGAAGCTTTCAAATTGTCATGGTTTACTATGCCATATCATATTTGCTACAAATCATCAATGAATCGAGGATCTTTTTTTCTTATGGGCTGTTTTTGTAATGTGGTTCCAAATATCATCTTCTATCGCCCTTGAAAGATTAAAATCGAGAAAACGTTTAATCTCAAATCATATTAAATTATAAGCATGTCTGTAGCTACACATCAATGCCCATTATAGGTTCATATTTTTATGTCTTGAACTCTGGATTTGAGGCAAATCTAGTTCTAGAAAGCCAATGTAATTTATTTGATTCTGTTACATTGGATTATCTTTTCTGCTCAATTTACTGAGCTCTTATTTTCAGTCAGAGAGGTCAAAGAAGGCTGGAAAGATTCCACCAGCAACCTTGATGATTGATTTCTTAAAGACTTCATATGATGGTTGTTCTGATGTCGTCCTTCTCGACGAAGACGTAAATTTCAATTCACGAGCATCTTCCCTATCGGTAA